AGCTGGTAAAACACAGTTCAGTTATCATGAGGAAAAGGTTGTGATAGAAGTTTGAGTTAAGATTAATTTCATAAAAAGTCAAGTAGGTGTTGCGGGTTCCATGTTTTCATCCCTTTGGTTAACCCTGCTTGGTAGCATATTTTACAAGTGGATTTTGCTCCTTCCCTTGTTTTGCTATAGGTAAGCAGAGGGTAAGGCCTTACTCTCCACGTTACTCCATAGTACTTGGAGTTATATGCAAGGAAACCATGCTGCCTTCTCAAAAGAGCATGGATTCATATGGCAGTGCTCCCCATTCCAGGTGTTTCTCCCTCCTTTCTTCAGGCTAAACTACCCCAGGATCTTGAGAATGCTCCACACGCCCTTGTCAGTGTTTCATCAACCGAGTGGTCCCGGGATGAGGTTGCCAGCCCAAAGGGTTTCACAAAATCAATAAATTAAACCAAAGAGCAACTCAAAATTCATTTGTAAAATATGTGTTCCTTACAAAGTTATCCTGAGACAAAAGGGATTACTTCTATGGAACCCTCACCTACTTAGAGGAAGTTAGCTCCTAGTGAGCATTTTTACAAAAAGAAAACAAAGAGATGACGAGTCCTAGGATGGGCGCTGATGATTTTTTTTATGAGGATTGCTTGTTCCTTTTATAGGGTTCTTCATTGTTCCTTTCATCAAGGGTCGTGCTTTGTTTAAATCCTCTCCAATGGTAGCTTTGCTTCTTGCCAGCTCAGCTCCGAATAGAAATCCTCTCCAATGGTAGCATTGTTTTTTGCCAGCTTGGCCTTAAATGGAAGTGGTCCCCCTTGCTTTTGGCTCCCTTTGTGAGTGGGAGTATCGGATTCAGGGAGGCACCTCCACTCCTTCTTCTGCAGCTGACGTGGCGGCTTTTGATTGCTCAGCTTCTTTGCTTTCGTACTGTAGCAGAGGTAGCACCTCCACCTTCTCTGCTGTGGCTGGCGTGGCGGCTTCCCATTGCTTCCTTTGACTGCTGTTGTACTACAGCAGGCTTTTTTTTTTCTGCGCAACACTCCTTCTTCTCTCTTCATTTCGTGGTTCCTTCTGATGGGCCTTAGGTGTCCTGAACAAAGCAAACTAACCCAATAGTCATATGTGAAAAAGATAATTTTAAATTTGCTCCAGGTCTACCTTAACTCCCACTTTCGGTATTGCCCTGGTCCACTATTCAAAACAGTCGCTCTATATGGAAAGAATAAGGTTGAAGGGAGTGATTTATAACCAAAACATGGGTTTTGTGAAACAATTTACACTTAATGGGCCTCAACTCTTGAGGACCATCAACACCCCAAAACTAGATATTACTCGTCCCGAGTAATCCTTCACAACCAACAGTCTTCTTGTGGCAGGCTAATGCTCCTTGAGATTATCGATGAAGAGTAAACTTAACTCTTTCCATCGCTTCATTAGAGCACTCATCTGACTTGTGAGTTTCACCAGCTTCATTGTGTGTGTGACCTCTTCCACTCTTTTAGTTAGTTAACTTACCTTTGGTTCATCAGGTTTTTAAACATGAATTAATATCAATTTGTGTGATTAAATGGATGGAAAAGAGGTTAATGTCCTGAAAATCTCTCAAATACAAGTTCTGAAGCTTATATTGAAAATTTGCATTGTTCTTGTAGGGAAATGAAGCTCAAGAAGAAAAAGAGAGAAGGAAGAAGATTCTGAAGAAAGGGAGAATGCTCAAGTGTTGAGCGCTAAAACATCCACACAGAATGTTTTAGCGCGCTGCTGCAATCTGAAGGCAAAAGTTGCTGGTGCCGAGCGCTAAAACGTCAAACACTGAAAGTTTTAGCGCGCTGCTGCAATCTGAGGACAAAAGTTGTTGGTCTTGGGCTCTAAAAATTCCTGATCAAATGTTTTAGCGCCCTACTATTGGAAAAAGACTCTGGTCTTTACCGCTAAAACGCCCAAGTCAAACGTTTTAGCGTTGGAATCAGTTAAAAGCAGTTGGGCATCCGTCAAACATGGACACTAAAACACCCATCAATGAACGTTTTAGCGCCCATGGCAGTTTTCAGTTGTATTTTGTAACTCTATAAAGGGCAAGTGCCTACACATATCCCATCCCATATATCTCAGATTCTAATCTGACCTGGCCCATCACACTAGGAGAGGGAAGATCAGATCAGATCTTTCATAGATCTGATCTGACTCCTTATTCGCTCTAAATTTCCAAATTCCTTAGAATTAGTTTATGTAATAGTTAGTACTTCTTTATGTAATTGTACTTGAAGATTGAAGACTCAACTATCATGACAATGGAGTTTGATCTTTCTTCTTCTCTTGTTTATATTTTCATTATGTCTAAGTAGAGTTCTTTGTAGTCTGATTCAAAGGAACTCAAGTTTGAATTTATGAATGGTTAATTAGATGTCTTGTTTATTTATTATGTGATTTGTATGAAGTTGTCTTGATTAATTCTTCATGTTAAGAAATAGTGTAGAACAGACATGTTTACATTGTTTCTATATTTGACAACTTCATCATCAGTGTTCTAGTAGTCAAGACATTGATGCTAGGATTTCTAATGTGATCTTAAGACCTTAGTAATTAATGCATGTATTAAGAAAGGGATCACCAAGACATTGGGGTTTCTAATTAATGTGTCTATCAAGGTAGTAAGACATTACATCTTGATGATAAGAAAAAGGTTGATCAACATCACATTGTAGATAATTCATTATGGAAATTGGTTCATCCATAAATTCATGCTTGAGAGAAATTGACATCTGACTACTTGTTTAGATTATAGTCACATTTTATTTGTTTATCAAGTTTTTATGCAATTCAACTAAATTTCTGGTGACAAGAAATCAATGCAATTAATAATCTTTTGGTTGATTCAACTTAAGTATATATGGTTAGTCAGTGCTTGAACACAAATCCTCGTGGGAACGATCTTTACTCATCATTTTATTACTTGTTTGACTAGTACACTTGCTAAATCTCACAACACTGATTCTCTTCCCCCAAATTATTCTTTTCTTCTATAAGTTAGCAAAAGTGGAGATCAGGTAATCCTAATCCCTAGGTATTTTTAGATTATATTTTATGTGAAATTTGGTATGTGTAATCCTAATCCTTAGAAGTCTTAGGTTAATTTTATATGAATTTTGATAGAGTAATTATGATCCTAAATATATCATAGGGTTGTTTTATATGAAATATATTGTATATAATTCTAATCCCAAATAATTGTGTTGACCTGTATATATAATTACGTTTGTTATAAATTTTATTTTGTTGATAATCACTATCTGAATATATATATATATATATATATATATATATATATATATATATATATATATATATATATATATATCGATTACAAATGTTTTCACAATTTGCTTTTGCCGAACTCGGAAATGCATGTATACACTTCCTTGCAAATTTCTTTCGCTTTCCTCGATTTCTGTGCAATTCTTTAATTGAATTCAAATTGTAATTGTCATTGCTTTTATATATGTATATATTGTTTACCATCTGATTCGTTTCTTTCAATTTACTTATATTTTCAAATTAGTATGTTCTCGACTTTTGCTTATATGCATATGTTTGCAATTTTATTTTTTTCAATTTACGTGATCAACCTATTTCAAATACATCTTTTCAGTTATATGAATTTAGTTACAATTGTTCTTTTTGAATTCTGTGCTTTACTCTATAAATTGAGGCACTAATATATATGTTATTTCTTATATATATATATATATATATATATATGGGTTTTATTAATCTCCTTCCACATAAGATAGTTATCTTATGTGGTAGAGAGAAAATGGGTAGGTCCCACCATTACAAGAAAAAAGAAAAAGAAGAAAAAAGTGGGGTGCGAAAATCGAAGTGAGAGAAAATGAGATAAGTTACCTCATGTAAAAGGAGAGTAATATTTCCCTATATATATATATATTAAATTGGGAAATTTTGTTATGTCTGTATTTAAAAAAAAATTAATAGTGGGAGGATAGCTTTGGGGTGGTACCTCCCAAAGTGATGAACACAACTTTTGAGCTTTATGCATTCGATGTGAAACTGATGAGAAAAAGATTGTATCCGTTCTTCCCAAAGGGGTGTCTGGCAGGTTTCTTGGGATACTAGTAGCAACTTTGGGAAGAGGTGTGCACACTAGGAAGATGTGAAATTGATTATGGCCAATGTGATTTGTTTGTGACTGACAGGGTTTTTCGGGTCACAGGATAAACTGGCAGGATTTTTCGGGTCTACCATAGTTCTCTTCCCACTTAAATAATTTAATAATGATAACTGATAAGTCAAAATAGTTTGATTTAAATATTTTTATTTGTTGAAATATTAGATTATTATTTGAATTAAATTGTCATTTGATTTTATTCTATTTTATCTTATTTCATTATATTTTATTTTATAATTGTATTTGAATTTATTTATTTTGATTAAGATTACCATCTTTGCTAACTTTTGTGTTTGTTTGACTGCAATGATCTTTTCGGGGGAGCAGACTTTCAGTGAAACAAGTTCTAAAGGATGGGGCTAGCAGTGGGCAGCGATTATAACGACTCAAACTTTTCTGGCTAGCTCTAGGATTTAAAGATGTGTTTTTATGAGCTTTTAAATTTAAATATTTCTTGACTTTAGTTTTAGTTTTGTTTTAATGTAATAAAGTCTAGCCTTGCGCTTAACAATAGTACAAGCGCGGCGGTAACATTAGCGTCAAAGGTTCCTATCCCATATATATTAAAAACTCAAATTCCATAACAGCACATGATTTCATCCTATGCCATCCAATGAATTATGGTTGCATACACATCATTTTATTCTAACAGTTTATCTTTTAGTGACTAATCCGATTTAGAATAAGTCCTGACTTAAGACTAGACGATACTAGGAAGGATAAAACACATATTCTCACACTTATCTTCCTACTCAGTTCCTTGATCCCACATGAGCTACCATCATTTTATTTACATACATATCATGTTAATTCCATGTAATCATCATGCAAACTTATGTGAATAAATAGTGTTTGTCAACCACAACTGTTTATCTGGAATTTCAATTTAAATAACAAATATGAACAACAAATGGGAAAAAAAATATTTGCAAAATAAAAAATTAAAAACTTCAAACAAAAGTAGAATTATACGAACCACAAAGCTTCATAGCTGGTACCCCCAACACATCATCCACCATACGATCATGCCACGTGTCCCTCATGGCTTCATTCAACCGTTGGATGAACCCCGTCTTGTATTTTTCACAATAATGCAAGTAACGTGCGACATGCCTGGGATCCTTATCCTCCCACCACCAACCATGATGACCATCACATTCCGGCAACCCTTCACCGCCACCGGAAACCCTCTCACGACCGCGGAATCCGGCCAACTCGGCAACATACTCCGCCATGCCATCGAGGAGCCCAGGAGGGGCCCTAGACCCACCATCCCATAACCACACTCGAGTCATGGCGCGTTGAACCGCACCCACCATAGCCATTTTATCATAATGTTTATCTTCAAGTAAAATAGGACTAATGTCAATGACATAGCCTTTGAAAATTTTTCCGCCGCTGTGGTGGCGGTTCCCGGCCGGGGAGACGGTGGCGGTGGTGTTGAGATTCCGGCGAGTGAGGCGGAGGGTGACACTGTCTATTTGCTTCTTGGGGTAGTGTTTGTTAGGGTAAAGGAGGTTTTCCACGAAGGAGCTCGTGTTGAGGACTATGCGTGTGGCTCTGTCGTTTGAGACATAGGATAGAGCGAAACGCTGTCCAGCAAGGGAATCCTCGGCGCCGTTTACTATGTTTATGTCGAAGGTTTTGGATGCTTCGAAATTTGCCCATATTGAGATAATTGCTACCGATAGAACTAAGAGGATTCGGAGAATGATGTTGTTGTCTGAGATGAAGTATTTTGGATTGTTGCAAGCATAGTGTTGTTTTTCACTATTGTGGTGTGAAGAGGATGAGGTGGCGGCTGCGGCGGTGGTGGAAGAGGTGGAGGAGGAGGAGGGGCTGAAATGGGGTATGAGTGGCTTTTGGAGGGAGAGTTTGTCCTCCTCCTCCATTAAAGGTCAATGGAAACAAGAGAGATGTTGGTTGCAGATATGGGGAATTAAATAATAAATATTCTGGATATAATGCAGCAGCATAGTGGTACATAAGGACATCACATGTGACTAGCTATTTTGATTGGAACGGTGACTATCTTATATATTATTTAACATGATTGGAGGATGGAATTATAATTATATAAGAGTGAATCAATGATAATAGAAAAAAAGTATATTAAAAATTATTATTGTTGATTTATCTTTATATAATTAGAATTTTTTCACATGATTATATTAAATAGAACATCACTGAACATGAGAGGATTTATTTCCTTTTTGTTGGATAGAAAATTATTCACACAGCTACTCCCAGTTAATTGGGAAAGTTGATATAGAGGGGATACCTCAAATTTCTTTTTTAAAAAAAGAATGGTAAATCTATGCTAAGAAGGAAAAAAAGAAATACTTGAAAATAACTATCTGTTCCTCTCATACGCTTGTTTTAGTTTTTTTTTTTTTGGAATTTATATTATTTGGATATTAATTTTAGGATAGTTGTACTCAAAATATACAATTTCAACTCTCAATTTTTTTATTTTTTTTTATTTCGACGAATGTAAACTTGTCTATTAAATTTATTTATTTTTATTTTTTGGATAAATTACAAGTATCATTTATGGGAGGCAATCCTGTTCGAAGGTCGATGATTAAGGTTTTAAATCTCTCCCAAAAATGATATCATGGATGATTGAACACATACTCTCATCCCATATATATTGTGGATGATTGAACACATGCTCTCATCCCATATATCACTACCAGAAAAGCGGTCTTTAACTACATGTGTTTTGCCACATTTAATGAGATCAGCATAAAATTACAAGAATATCCTTAACTTTACTCTTTGCTTTATAATATCCCAAATTACTTAGAAGAAAAAAAAGCCTTTCTGAGTTCTGACCTTAGTAAAACCAAAAACACAAAAACTCATATCTTTTATTTCTTCATTCTTCAATTTAATCGACGAGTTTTCGTTTCATCATTTCTTAATTAATTTCATCTTTCTTCAAATCTTCATTCCTAGCAATCACAGCTTCAAAGTTTTTTTCCCTTTTTTTATTCTAGCTTATAATTTCTTCACCTTCATCTTTAAAATATCTCCGATGGAGGATCGATAAACCCTAAAAAAATTAGGCACCTTATGGTTCGATTTGAAGTCAAATCAAACCTGAAGATGGCTATGTGATCATTTTTATTTCGCTTTCTCTTGCATCACGAGGTAACTTCCTCTTCCTCTATCGTTCTCTCTGTCTCTCAATTTTTTGCTATTCAAACATTGGGAATATAGCTTATGATTGATTCAATTTTTTGTTTTTGTAGGTGGATTTGACAAAGCGCATGCTGCGGCTAGGTAATTTTCATACTTAGGTAATTGCTGGTTTTCTACAACATATGAAATGTTTCATGGGATATATCTTTTCTTTTGGATTTCAAGGCATATGATCAAGTTGAATCAAGTTTCACGTTGATGCAGATATCAATTTCAACGTCAACAATTATGACGAAGATATGAAGCGGTTAGTGAGCAGATAATCCTATTGTTCATAGTTTGAAGTTGTATTACTATTTATTTAAAACTTTAATGGAAGTTCTAATTGTAGCCTCAATTTCAATTATTATTCTGAAGATGAGTAACTTCACAAAGGAAGAGTTTGTTCATATTCTGCGTCAACAGAGCACTGGTTTTTCAAGGGGAAGCTCCAAATACAGGGGAGTTACTTTACATAAATGTGGGAAAGACAACTAACTTGCTTTTGCTGGTATTGTTTTTCCCTTTTGTTTCATGTCATTTTTTTTAATGTTACTTAAGGAGCATAGTTAAAAGAAATGGAATTTTTTTTTGTCTTGTTAGGCTAGAGGAAAAAACCGTAAGTTGTGGAGTTACTAATGCTAATAGTATTGATGAGCTCAACATTATATAGAAGACCTACATCTCAGGTAAGGACATTGAATTTTACTTTTTGCTTTTCCAAGTGTAGTGAAAATGTTTTAAAAAATAAAGGAAAATCATATTTTTTATTGACTAATACATTCTCTTTGTGTCACCGTGTGTTATTATCTTATTCAGGACCATGGAGGAGCTTGGAGTGGACAAAACTGTTATTGCAAGTGAGCTACCTTTAAAATTATTTTTGGTTACAGTTGGTAGTGATTGTTTTGTATTCAACCTTCTTATAACTTGGACTCAATTGGAAAGTTATGGCTATGCCTTTGTGTGTTGCTCCAATAGGCTTAGGATGTTGAACATGTGTTTGAATAAATTAGTAGAAGAAATTTGAACCTTTTGAGGCCTCAGATCTCTGCTATGGCAAGTTCTCATTTATCAACAGCTGCTGAGCTATTTTCAAGACAACGTAATCCCCCGGTATGCTCAACCTTAGTTTGGATTCCTGAAAATTTTGACTTGATGGTTATCTGTTAACTCACTCAATAGTTTGAAAAAAAAGTTTATTGTTGAATATGTTTTTGCTCAGAGAGACTGATTTAGAGTTTTTTGTGTTTTTGTAGTCGTCTCCATTTGATTCAAGTCTTTTCATTGAACTTGTTAGGAAAAATTGACCAAATTGATATGAACAAAAAAAATGTAACTTTTTGGCTTACTTATTCTACCGTGAATTGGCAACAAGATGAGATCTGATACTTGGTTTGTTACTTTGCATAACCATGAAGTTACATGCTTTTGTTCTTTTTGTTCATACATTTGTAACATATAAGGAATAATCGCATTTGCTGTAGATTTTGATAGTGTGTCCCGAGAAAGTTGAGATCTGAACTCGAGAATCAGTCACAATTAGATCATGCATAATTCAGTATATGCTATTAGCATTAAGATAAGTAATCTGCTTTTCATGAGTTTCCCATTTACCTCTTATCTCCCATTTTTGTCTGATTGTATTGTATCAGAGGGTTCCAAATCTAATTGGGGGCAGTTTTGTCGACTCAAAATCGTTGACTTTCATTGATTTCATAAACTCTGTAAGTGTATTTTTTTTGGTTGTATATTGAGCATTAAGCTGTCTCTTTTTTTTGCTGTTTTGAGAAGGCAAACTTCTAATATTGATATCATTTGATAACAGGCAACACAAGGAGTTGTTTCACAAGTTCCTTTTTATTCTTGAAAGCCCATTAAGGCTTATTGAACGTTTTTTTATTCTTTCGTTTGAGTCTGATTTAGAATTTGAATAATTGTCAATAAATGCTCATTAAGTCTGATTGATAACTTCCTTTCCAGGTGGCTGAAATGTAAGTTCAAAAGTAATATTTTTCTTTCAGCATTGAATAACTAGTGGAAGACAAACCTTGTGGGGAATAAAACTTTCTCAATACTTTATCATGTGAAAATAAACAAGAAGACCAAGTCTTTTCTTTGTTCTCTTAATCTATGAATTTAGTTCCTATGGCCATTCATTTTCTCTTCAGTCTTAACCAACTTCCTTTGGTATTGCATTTGAATTTAAATTAAATGAATAAGTGACTCAACTTGTGGATATTAGACACATCACACAAAGATGTTACCAACCACCACATGATGTGCCCCTGCTTCATTTTCGACCAATGTATATGTCCTTCTTCCCTAGATATAATATTTCTAACCTCTTATATATTTTGTATTAAACAAATTAAGGAATTAATATATTCTCCTTTTGATGCAGAGCTAATGTTATTTCGTTCTTGGTTTTCTTGGCTCCAATACAAGTATTTATATCTATCAATCAACTCTTGTTACTTCCACTTAATTGATGAGGTTCAAAAAAAGAAATAGAGATTCCCAGATTTTAGTTAATATTAATTATTAATAAAAATATATATTTTACCTTCCTTGAATATTGCCGATCAACAATTTACTGAATATACAAGAAGAAATCGATAGGGGGTTTTAATCACTGCCTTAAGTGGTGGCACTGTTCAGTTCCATGCTTTGGTTATACTATGCTTTACTCAAAAAAGACGTTCTCCTCATTACCATTAACTCATTTAGATGTATGGTAGAGATCATTTACATCATCTTCTGTGAGTGTCTTTGCAGCCCCACTTAGCATTGTGGTACGTGAAAACCCCTAGTCATTGTGCTAAAAAATGAGGACCTTTTTATGTCTTGGTAAGGATTCCTCACTGCATTATGCTCTTTTACAAATTTGCCACTTAATATTCATTCATTTTGTTTTGATACATGCAGGCATTAGAGCAGTCTTTGGATTCAGGAAAATCTATTGCCTTTTCTGATGGTCTTGTTATTAATGGCTAGGCTCATATTACCTTAAATGGTGACTAGGGTTAGTCCTATTAAAAGGATATAGCTCAATTATTTGTAAATTTTAAGTGATCCATTTTTAGTTAAAATAATCTTTAGTGTTTGTAAATTCAAGTCTTATCAATGTTAGATTACTTCATGAGATAAAACAAATCATTGTTGAAGTTACTTTTAATGATATTTATATCCATCCCCCCCCTAAATTTTATTCCTTTTATTGGTTTTTAATTCTGTGAATTCAGCTACAATGTGGCTGTAATTTTTTTTAAAAAAATAATCATTAAAATAGCCACATTTAAACCGTGGTAAATATAATCAATAAATGTAGCTAAATGAATGCTACCACACTCAAATAAAATGTGGTTAAGTAAAGCAGTAAATGTGGCTAAAATATTGCAACGCCACGATTAACCACATTCACAAAAAGTGTGGTTGTTTTTGTTAGCCACATTTTTTAAGCAATTTAGCCACGTTTACAAACGTGGCTAAACCCCAGTTTTTTTGTAGTGTATTAAGCTCTCTTCCCTCAATTGAGGTATCATTATTTGGTTATTTTTTTCTTTCTTTTGCTTTACTTAATAGTGTTCAATGTGGGTTTTACCCCCATATGTCCACGGTGAAAAGGCAATAGAATGATTTACTTGGATACCTTGTGCATCTATAGAAGATTAGGGATGTTAAATGAGTCTGACTAGGTTAGACCGTTTAATATGTAAGTTTGGACACGCGTTGGGTTACAAAAATTAACCCACGAATCCGCATAACTCACCCTCATAAAATATAAGTTGGTGACAAATAATCATTAGTTTGTCTATGATCGATACAATCGATATATGGAACTTTTAGTCTTGTTTACACATTATGATTGGTATTTTTTAAAAAGGAAAAACCGAAAAAGGTGTGTCATTTTAAGTGACACACTTTATATCCTTTCACTCTCACAAAGAAGTTGGATCCACACATTTAAAAAAAAATTTATCCATTCTCTCTCCGATGATTTATATCTTTCTTCATTTAAAATGACACAATTTTATGTCTTTCAAAATGATCCACATTTTTTCCTTTTTAAAATCAACAAACGATATATTTATTTATCATATCAGCAGAAAAAGAGAATGTAAGAAATGTATGGTATGTGAGATAAGTGTCTTGATATTGATTCTCGATATTTGAATATTGATGTTTTTTTAATTTTTTACAAATAGTGGCACATATCATTTTGCTCGTTTGAGCATTAAGTTATTGAGTGATCAATAGTTAATTGGATCTAGATCCTCTCATGTGAAAATTTACATAACCATGTCATGTGGGGAATCATAACCATATAAAGGTGGATCAATGGTAATAAAAGAGGAATGCAGATTTGAAATTTGACACCTCATCTGAGAGCCATTAGATAAAAAAAAGATCAACGACTCTGATTTGTAAATATGTTACACCATTGATCTTTTTTATCTAACGACTCTCAAATGAGATGTCAAATTTCAAATTTGACACTGTTGTCAAAGGATCTTACCTCTATATATATATATATATATAATATATATATATATAGGGGAAGGATCCGTTTACAAACTTTTTTTACAAATTTTTGTAAATTACACTATTTACTCCCGGGAGAATGTAACCTAGTGTTCTCCCGGGAGAACATAGTGTAGTTTGTAAGAGTTTGTAAATCAAAAGTTTGTAAATATAATCCTCCCCGTATATATATATATATATATATATATATATATATATATATATATATATATATATATATATATATATATATATATATGGGGGTCAGGATCATTTTACATCAGTGTAAGTTACACTCTCAATCTTGTCTGTTGATCCCACTTATATTTAAGGGCTCTAATTTTTTAGTAATGTGAGTCATTAGATACAAGTGGATCAATGGTTAAGATTGATAATTCTTACACCAGTGTAAGAATATCCTGTCCCTATATATATATATATATATATATATATATATATATATATATATATTATTACAATAAGAAAGTATCCCTACTATTATATTGCGGTTATCTTTGATAACGTGGGACGTTTTGAAAATCTCTTTTCTTTATGAACAAAAGTTGTGTATTTGGAGGTTTTATTTTTAGCTTCTCTTTTCTTTATGAACAAAAGTTTAGTCAAATATATTTTTACAAAAACTCTTATTATAAAAAGAACTTTTTATTATAAGAACAAAAAAAGAATAAGCTAAAAGCTCCAAAGAAAATAAGTTTAGTCATACTTAAGATATATATTAGAGTTCTCATTTTTATTTACTAATTTCACTTTTATTCTAAATTTATATTTATCAGTTTTACTCTTTACCCTAATAATCCATTTGAATAACAAATTATTTCTTTTTTTTCTCTTATTCAAAACCGTCGTAACAACGTTATATAATCATTAATTAACTTTATTTTTATTTTTTTAACTTTAGTGTAAAAGTAGTTTTTTGTTTAAAAAAATGTGTCAAACAGGCTCTAAGTATGACTCATTTAATAGAATTTCATATACTATTCATAATGATCAAGTTTATATAGTCGTGCAAGATACGAATTAGATATTTGTTTTTAAATCATTAGCGTATAAAAAATAATTATATTTAATAAACAAATTCAGTTTCACTCATTGTCATTACAACAATTATCACTTAGCAATTATCACTTAGCCCCACGAATGCCTAAAATATCTTTATTATATAAAATGTTGATAATCCCTTACTCAACAAAATTCTGAAATATATGTAAAATATAAAAAATAACCCTAATAAAAAAAATCTAGTGCGAGGATATTGAGAAGATGGATATAGTCCTTGCTATTATTGATGGGCAATGGATCAAGCTATTCCTTTAAGAAAGGAGTTGTCGTCACTTGCTTTGGCCATAATTGAGATGACAGATGCATGTTATAACATCTCACATATTTGAAATATATTTTAATAATAAAATTGTGGGTTAGTGAAAATCCTGAGTTTTATGTCAAAATACACACGAAGAGTAAAATGATAATTTCACAAATACATAACCCTAATTTGTGAAATGATAAAATTAGGCATTATTTGATGAAAATAGTGATGGATTTGGATTCAGGATGAAATTTGGAGTGAATAAGCAAATTTCTAGAAAATTGATGAATAATGATTTTTACTAGATAAAATATTGTGATACAATTCTACTAGGTAATTTAGAGATGAGATTACTGCTCTAAGATTGCATATATGTTGAAAGAGATATTTAGAATCAAGAAAAATGATTAGTGAAAATATTCGGTGAATTTTGATGGTTTTGGGAAAACGTGCCAATAGTGCACAACTAGGGCTAAAATCGTAATTTCATCAAATTACAAGGAAAATTGAGATCCATTTGTTAAAATAAATTTAATGGCCTTTGGTAAATGTTAAAATTTTGATTAAATGATTGATTCATGAGTTAATTGGAGATTAGTGTGTTAAACGAATAGGTTTAAGTGAGAAACTACACATGTGGGACTTATCTCACTTAAGTGACTTATGACAAATGTGAGAAATCAGATTTTTGAACCCTTTTCTCTCTCCAAATTTGATGGTGTTGTTAGTATATAGGTGTCCCAGAGACAATCTGTTTTATCAGATGAACACCTTTTTCTATTTAGTATTTCTTGATTAATAAATTTAAGCAAACTTTATCTTTATCATATTTATGTCTCGCCAATATTTTATTGTTAATATTCGTTTAAAGATAAAGACCCTAGGAATAGAACATGTGTTCACTCGGAGATCTATGATAGGGATCACGATCATGAGGAATCGAGGACACTGAATGTCTATTACCTAAAATCTATTCCTGGTCTTGAATCACCAAGAAAGGGTATTGGTGATCTCAATAAGAATAATACGACATCATCTACTTGTATGGAGATACAAGGTAGCGACCTCATGGAATGCATGCATGGTGATGCCTTAGCTGATGTCGTGGGTGGGTCTGTTGGAGAACAGATAGCACTAAACTAACCCGCCGAGAGACTCCACAAGGATTCATTATGGAGAATATCATTGGATTTGTAAAGTCTCAGAATGTTTGGTAGTGCGGATCGTCCTAGACTTAAGGATGTCATCGAATACTATGTCCTAGAGTTATACTTTGACTGTACAACTCTATCCGCCTGAAAATGGGGAGAATAGTGTACTCTTGGTCAAGACCCTAGCACCTGAAAAGTTAGGAGCTAGAAGCACCTTGTGCTACTTTGTAGGATATCCCAAAGAAACTAAGGGATACTACTTTTACTACCCTGAGGACCAAAGAGTCATTGTGTCCAAGAATGCTACTTTTCTTGAGGAAGACCTTCTTTCTCAAGAAGATAGTGGGAGTAAGGTAGAACTTGAAGAAATTCAAGACCCACAAGAACAGATGGGGGAACCCGAGTCTGTTGAACAGGCAATGCCTCAACTAGAGGCAGCAGACACCCAGCCCCGTAGGAGCACTAGGGTTAGTCATCCACCTGAGAGGTACGGTTTTGTGATTGAGAATTAGCAGACCGTTGAGGATGACGAGCCTACTTCCTACACTGAGGCAGTCAAGGGTGTTGACTCCTCAAAATGGAAAGAAGCCATGGAATCCAAAATTGATTCGATGCATCAGAACAAAGTATGGACCTTGGTTCCACCACCTGAGGGAATAGTTCCTATTGGATGCAAGTGGGTTTTCAAGAGGAAGACTGATGCTGATGGCAACATCCAAACCTATAAAGCTAGGTTGGTTGCGAAAGGTTGCCGTCAAAGACAAGGAATTGACCTTGAGGAAACCTTCTCACCTGTTGCCATGATCAAATCTATTAGGATTATGCTAGTGATAGCCGCATATTATGATTATGAAGTTTGGCAAATGGATGTCAAAATCGCCTTCTTGAATGGGTTATTGAAGGAGAAAGTGTATATGACACAACCTGAAGGTTTTGAATCTAAGAGTCAAGAGCATATGGTATGCAAACTTCAAAGGTCAATATATGGGCTTAAGCAAGCTTCCAGGAGTTGGATTCTTCGTTTTGATGAAGTCGTTAAGGATAACGGTTTTATCAAGAATGAGGATGAACCATATGTCTACAAGAAGGTTAGTGGGAATGCTGTTGTTTTCCTTGTGCTATATGTAGATGACACTTGCT